CTTTCGCTGCCTGGGAAAGGAGCACTAAAATAGCGCTCCTTCCACAAGCCGTGACAGGGGCGCCCGAAGAGCCACCATGTGGCTCTTTTGCACCTCTTCTGGCTCAGCGTGTCCGAACGCTGAGCCGGAAGGATGTCATCGGAGTGCCCACCATGTGCAATGGTGGGTGCTCCGATGACGTCCTTGGGAAGGGGTTGGGGCACCTGGTGTGAGGCTGCCCCTCCCCTTCCTTGCCTCCAAGACGGCGCAAAACGCCATCTGCAAAGGGGGTTAGTTCCACTATAGAACTCCACGTGAAGGAGTTACTGGGAGTTCAGGACTGTGTGAGTCCTAAGGGAGAGTAACTGGTGTTCTCTTGAGAAAGAATTGCGTAACAAATTGTAACAAGTGCATATACCAACTGAATAAGTGAAACATTGTTAAACTGTTGTTCAGATAAAGTTTTATTGTTGTTTATTTACAAGCCTGTTTGAAGAACATTCTCTGGAATTAATATTCACACTACTAACAATCAATAAAAGTGGTCTGGTACATCTCAAAATTGGTGGCAAAGATAGTTTTAAAAGAGAAAAAAAATAGCAGTTTCAGTGAGTCTTGTGACAGGAGACTAGGAATTAAGGTAGTACAGTCAATTCCTTTTCCTAATGAAATAACTCTGCAAATGTTTCTGTTGTGGAAGCTGTTGTGACACAGGGTTCTACATATTATTCTTGGGAAAAACAACAACATCTGCAAATCTGTTTTTGTTGAAAGGCCAACTTTCATCCCAGTTCTGAAACAAGCAGTAAATGCAAAGAGCCTCTTTTAAGTGCAAGTGACCTTTAATATCTACACTGACTAAAAAATGGCCAAGAATGAAACAGAAACTAAGTATGCACCCTATTCATTCTGACAGCTCATTTCAGGTTTGCAAATGTTTCTGATTGTCTCCAGACTGCAATGTGCTCCACCACCAAAAAGTACTCTCTGCACATATGATAGGAAAAGAATATGCCAGTAATGTTACCATTACTGTAACATTTCTTTCCTGTCTCAGAGGATGTCACACACAAAAATTGATCTGCATAACAAAATAATGTGGACTGCAATATTGAACTGATTAAACAGATTTAATGATTAAAACATCAAGCCAAACAACACTGCCAATTATCACTTAGCATCCAATTTAACTACCTTTTTTAAAAAAAAGTATTGTTGGCTCCCCATGTTTGCAGGGTTTAGGGTGTGAAAGTGAAAAAAACATGACTATCTCTCACCTCCCAAATCTCAACTGAGGCTATATTCCTATCTATATGAGCTAAGCCAGGGGTAGGCAACCTAAGGCCCGGGGGCCGGATGCAGCCCAGCAAGGCCTTTGGACCGGCCCCAAACCGGTCCTGCCGCCGCCCCCCCCCCACACTGCCGCCCCCCCCCCCCCATGATGATATTGATTATTGTTGTTATTACTTGTTCTTGGGTTTTTCTTGGCAAAATCTTCACAGGGGTTTTGCCATGGCTTTTCTGGGGCTGAGAGAGTGTGCATGCATTTTTTAAAATTTTTAAATTCTTTTTTAATTTTAATTTTTATTTATTTATTTATTTATTTTTGGTGCTTCGGCCCGTCAATTGTCTGAGAGACAGCAACCCGGCCCCCGGCTCAAAAAGGTTGCCTACCCCTGAGCTAAGGTATGGAAGTAAAATGTTGCTTCCATCCCACCATCGCAGGGCATGCAGAACCTTGTAGTCCTGATGTGGTCAGAGAGGAGGAAAGTGGCTGTGGCAAGGTGATTAGCACTAGGCAAGGCTTCGGGATGGGAAGCAGGGATACTAGGTGTTATTTTATGCATTATGACTTAATGTTTTTTATATAAAAAACTTTACATTTTCTAGTTTACATGTATCACCTGTGATTTTCTGCAGTAGGAACAAAAACTCCAAAAATTCTCATTTAATTATTCACTTATGAATAATCAAAATCTACACAAGTTAAACCTAAAAAATCTGAGGTTTGACTACTTATACATTGGCCCTCTGTTTTGTGGGAGATCCATTCTGTCCCCCCCCCCGGTGAAAATGGAGATTAGTGAATATTCAAGCCCCATAGGCTTGAATGGGGCATGTGACCTCGAGAGCACGCCCCATTGATTGAAATGGAGGTTGTCCCTCTGTGAATATGTAAAACCACACACATGAAGTCTGTGAGAACGGAGGGGTGACTGTATCACATTGTCAAAGTGGGAAGAAACATTTCTTCCTGTGAAAAGAAGAAATATATCTTCTAAGTGAGGCTGTTGCTACATGTATGTGTGTCATTAGAGACAAAGTATGCTTTTTTGCTTTGGAATATTAGTATAAATCCAATTGCTTATCTCAACTCAAATAGAACTACTTTGGGGGGATGCAGACTGGTACTTTAGGCTGGCCTGGGGATGGAGTTGGAGTGGGCTGACAGCACCCTGGCTGCCCCGACTTCGTCCTGATGTCACACACCTGACCACATGGTGCATGGCATCAGGCTGCCTTCTTGGCACAGCATGCAGACATGCTGTGCCAAAGGGGCACAAAAGAGCTGCGGTGGCTCTAAGGGCGGCTTTTTGCCACCCCAAAAAGGAGTGGCATTTGCCCACTCTTTTGGGGGTGGCAAAAAGGAGGACCGGGGCCATGGTGTGTGGTTGCCGAAGCCCCGATCTGCCACTCCCAGTGGTGGCACAGAGCCACCCTTATGGGCCGTCTGCATCGGCCCTATATTTAGGCCATGGTCATCTGTATAAAATAATAACTTAATTCCATCAAAGTTTTCTACCTTTCTTTCTATTATTCTAGCTAGGCAATTTGTTCTATTGTTGAAACACATGGTATTTAAAGGTATTTAAAGAGTGTGATCATGTTACTCCCCATCTTCTCTTCACCAAGATGAATGTGCCCAGCTCTTTCTATCTTTCCTCATATGTTCTGTTCTCCCTAACTCCTATCCTTGTTGCCTGTCTCTGAATCTGCTCCAATATGTCAATGCCTTTCTTAAAATGAGTAGCCCAGAACTGAATGCAATACTCCAGAGGAGGCTTGACCAGCACAGAATATAGTGGGATTATTACCTTCCTCAACTTGGAAACTATGCATTTATTAATGCAGACTAAAATAGCATTCACCTTCTTTGCTGCAGGCATGACACTGCTGACTCCTGTTCAACTTCAGATCAAAAACAATCCCATGATCATTTTTGCATGTTGTATTGCTGAGCCATGTATTTCCTCATCCTATAAATGTGCATTTGGTTTTTTGTGGCAAACATCCAGAATTTTGCATTTGTTTCTATTGAATATAATTTCATTAATTTCTATCCAATTATTTTTCTCCCTTTCCTCACTGTAATATTTATATAAGTTATAACTGGACTTCATGCTGCTGGTTTATAAGCTTGCTGCCTCTCCTATCCCAGCGGCTTTTTTTGCTCACAACTTTAGCAAAGGCTGATGGGAAGAAGTACGCTTATGAGCTGCTACTTTCCCAGAGCTTCATCTCCTCCAAGCACCCCTATATTTAAGAACCCTTAAATAATGTTCTCAGTGAAAACCAAAACCACCCAAGGACATAACAACAACAACAACAACAGCCTTTGACCTTGAGTGAGTCATGTCACTGGAGTGATTTTCATGTCCCAGATAATGTTATATGCTGAAGTTAAAAATATATCCAACAGGTTTTCAAACAAATCAAGTTAAGGAGCAGAAAGAAACTGACTACTTCTGACCATCACTCTGCTGCTTTGATTTTTGGATATCTTCTTATCTCATATTAGAATAGCCTGGGGCATAAAGATATCTCACAAACCAATCTATATAAGCCTTCAAAATAGGTCTGGTCGAAGATTTATTACAAAATGAACAAATCAGTTGGCCAATTCATTGACTAAAATTCATGACTAATCCACAGAGAATGTCAAATCAGGTGACAATAGCTCTGAAAGAACAACATTAAATCTTTATAGCTTCAGAAAATAACCAGCTAAACTATCTAACAAATCCAAACAATTGTCCATATTTTCTAGCCCCTTACCCTGGAAAATTACTATCTCTGTCCAATGAAAGATTGCTTTTACAGTGCAATACAATCTTACCTAGTATTATTTAGAGAGCACACAAATTCCTTATACTTTAGTCTGCTATCCTAGTGTCACTCTTCCATTTCTTTCTCAGAATGCCATTCTCTGCCCAATCTGACATTTAAGTCCATTGCCAATGCTGCTGCTGCCTCCTAAGTGAAAACCTCTGAAACAGTATGTCAAGAAACCTTTCTATTATCACAGAGTTTGAAAGTCTCTAATGGTTTTCCAGGTACCAGAATTAGCATACAAGGAATTTCACATGACAGATACCTACCTCTAGAAGAACATGATTTGATTAATTATACTAATAATGGCAGTACAATCTGATTTACTTCACAGTCATGAAGCAAGTAACCTTGGTAAAACATGATTTGAGAGCAAGGATACTCTAATTGTCCAAATCATCCCATTTGATGTCTCTCTCTGTTTCATTAATTGAGGGTAAAAAATCTTAATTTATTAACAACTTGTTCCAGGAATTTGGGTGAAACTAGTTGCAAATAAATAGCTGTTTGCAAATGGTTCCTTTTTCTAAAAAGAAGGCACAAGAACAAATCACAACTTTAACTTAATTACGGACAACTGCACTACTTTTGCTGTGCAACAGTAACTTTTTAAATTATTTCTCTAATGGGGATGGGAAAGAAAAGGAAGAGTACATCACATGTTTCTAGTCAGCTTCATGTTGTTTTCTCATGGTGTTGCCTCATGCTGCTGTATGAAAGCCACCTTAGGTCCCATACTGGGAGAAACACAGGATATAAATAAAATTAAAATAAAATGTGTTGTGGGCTCTGAGATGACAATGAGATGGATAGGAGGATAATGTGGGTTTTTTTTAAATGATAAACCACTGGCTAGTGGTATTTAAAGGCAACTGATAATATTTTATTTATTTATAAATATATCTGAAAGAGCCAGAGTAGTGTAATGGTTTGAATGTGGGACTACGACTCTGGGGACTAGGGTTCAACTCCCTGCTCAGGCATAGAAACCCATTGGATGACCTTGGGCAAATCATACCCTCTCCACCTCAGAGGGAAGCAAAGGCAAACCCTTTCTGAGCAAGTCTTGCCATGAAAACCCTATGATAGATTCATCTTAGATTCATCTTGCCATAAATTGGAAATCACTTGAAGACAAACAGTAATAACAACAATATATATTAAACAAAATAAATATATTCCTTGCTTTAGTTTTGCTCTGTAGGCCTTAATAAGAAGCAAAGCACATAAGAAGCTAGAATTTCTTTAAGGGACAGAATTTTTCTTTACATGTTTATGAGGAAGAATTCCAGTTCTCAAGGAAATGACAATGGTCGCTTCACAAATACTGAAAATACACAAATCTTCCATAATACACGAGTTCTCTCTTATACCACCTGGATTACCCAAACCACAATTTGCATCTGCAACTGAATTAGGAAATATATGATTATTTCAACAACAAGAGCAATGTTTAACTCCAAACCAGAATTGGATATCATAGTTTGAAAAGTGAAAGAAAGAAGTTGGCAGCATGAGCTTTCGTAGACTTCAGTGTACTTCCTCAGATGTTTTTGGTGGAGTGGAAGGCAGGGAGAGACATATATATGGCCTTGGTGTGTGAGAATGTCAATTCAAATGGAAATGAAGCAGCAAGTCCAGTATTAACAATGGTAATTTGTGGACAAAGACTTAGGGCCTAAGCAGACTGCCAGTGACTGTGATCTATCTCATAGCTTGTCATGTCCTGGAAAATTAAGCAGTCATAAATCAGTTATTTGTGACTAGGTGAAGTAGTCTCAGCTACTGTCAGTTGTTGTTGTTGTTCTCCTCCAGATCTATGCCTATCTTTCTTCTGACTATTAAGCTTCCCAAGTATGAAAACATACCCATGATAACATAAGGCCTTTGTAGACTGCCAGAAATAGTGCACATTAAATTGAGGCACTGCCCTGGCTCAGTGCTAGGGAATCATGGGAACTGTAATTTATTGTGGCACCAGAGCTCTCTGACAGAGAAGGCTCAATGTCTCAGAAAAAAAAAATACAATTCCCATGATTCCCTAGCACTGAGCCAGGGCAGTGCCTCAATTTAATGTGCACTATTTCTGGCAGTCTGCAAAGGCCCATAGTCCTCTTTGGTTTCTGTTTCTTGGCCATTGCCTTTTCTAGAAGGCCCACTCCTTAAAACAAAAACAAACAAAAACAACAACAACCAAGACAAGAAAGCTCCACTTTCAGTCTTCTTTGTCATCCCATTTCTTCACAAAAATTGTCATATAAGAGAAGTGCCAGCACTGTATATTTAATGGCTTTATAACATATACCAATGGATTTTCTGGACTGATATGTTAGAGGTGGCTTTAACTCTGTGTTTTGTTAGTCTGGAAATTCATTAGAGGGAAATATGCACTTGGGACCCATCTCATATCCACTTTGAGTACGGTCCACCAGCTTTGCAAAAAAAAAAAAAAAAAAAAAAAAAAAATTGCTGATGTAACCTTTATTTTAAATGTTATGAGAACAGCCTTTGTTGTTGGGACCAATAAGATGTTGCTGCAAAATACATCCCTCCACAGGCTAAACCAAACCACACACACTCCTGTGATTTTTAAAACATGGCAACAGCAGAAGCAGTTTTCACTTCAATTTCAAAACATGGAAAAGGGATGGGAGGGTAGAATAATGCTTTTCTTCCCTGTAGCTGCTGTTAGTACTGAAAGGTAAATATCAATCAACTTTCCATCTCAACAATAATAAACAACCCAGGGAAGGGGAATTTTCATTGGGAAGAAAAGGGTTAAAACTCTCCTCATGATTGTGGTTCTAGCATTGTGCATCTTGACATCTGCTATTCACTTCTTTTCAAAGATATATCGGCAAGTGACAATTTTAATGATTTGTCTGCTTTATCACATGTATATTGGTTTCCTAAATGCATCAGAAGCTAATTAATCAGTCAATCATAACAAATTTATAACCTAATCAGCAGTGTAATGGCAATGTTTGTAAACTGCTTAATGAACTGCTATTCATGAGAGAAAGTGAATGGAGAGACGACTTCTTAAATAAAACTGTCATTCAAATTGTACAGTGAATCAAAATGTTTGGTGAACAATGTAACAAGTTTGCATGCCCAGAATTTGGAACATATTTGAAAGAACGGGCAGTCTAGCTTTTCAAATGTTAGCTATTAAAAGTTCTACTGTACTTCACTTTTTCTCTTATGATTTGAAATAGATAGCTATCCAAAAATATGCAACTTTAAACATCTGAAGCCCATGCCAAGCTTATTCAAAGTGAATGGGTGGAAAGCTACTTACCCCCAGTTGCCACAGTAATTTCACGTAGGAAATGGCCATAAAATGGGAAATCGAAGGATAGATTCACTCTCTGCAATGAACAACATCAGAAAAGAAAATCAATAATATAAGGAATAGTAGAGACTGTTCAGTTCAATATGTGATCCAGCTGTTAACTGTTGCTTTTGCTACTAAGTTTTGACAGTAGCCTTACCTTTCTCAATCTGGAATAATTTCTCAGTACTAATGTTGAAAACAGTTCTGCACAGCAGAGGAGGCTCAGCAAGATATAAGGAAAACATACTTATGAAGGAAGCATACAAATGAAGCAGCAATCCTAAGCATATTTGGTCACATTTGACTTGAAAGGATTTTTCAAGTTTTTTTTTTTAAAAAAAAGAGAGCAAAGGATTAGGCTGTAGACACCTGCAATACTACATACCAGCCTTCTCCAACCACTTGTCCTCCAGATATTATGGACTACAATCACTATTAGCATCATCCGGCCCCCATGGTTGAGGATGACAGGATCTACTGCCAAATACATCTGGAAGGCACCAGGTTAGGGAAGGCTGGTATAAGTACTATCTATGAGTCTTATCAACCTCACAGGATCATTGTGACAGTAAAAATAGAGGAAGAGGACCATGTACACAACCTTGAACTTCTGGGAGGAAAGATGGGATAAATAATAAATTTAACAAATGCATAATAAATAAATTCCATTTAAATCTTCACAGAAAGAGATTAGAAATGTCTTCAAAATAGACACTTTAATATAGCCTGTTTTTGTCACTGATGCCACTAATATGGCTGATCAGGTGTAGGGAGCTGTTGCTGGTATACATCAAAGGAGTCAGAGAAGAAGGAATTTATCTTATATGATCTGTTGGAATCAATACCCTGCTATATTGCAGCACAGCTTTGGAAAGGGTGGAATGGTTCTCCTCTCCTCAGCTGCTCCTTGGAAGAAGGATCTCTTACTACTAAAGTTACTGCTGAAGAATCATAAATCACACACAATTTGTATATTTTTAATTACCTCCTTGTTGACATAATTCACTTCAAGCAGGAAGCAAGACCCACCTCCAGAGCGTGGCTGTGTTTCTTGGAGAGGAACAGCAAATGCATTAGGCAATGGGCTTGACACAGAAGGATCCTTCTAATCTTTTGAATAGATTTAGAAGGCTCTTCCAATGTGTAGTGGGGACAGGATGCCAAGCAAACAGCAAACCTCAAACCCTGTCTCAAGCCCATTGCTTAACATGTTTGCTGTTCCCCTCCGAGAAACATGCCCTGCCTCCTTTTTTTCTTGTTAAGTTGGCTCCCAGACTTGAGGCTTGACTTGAGACTTGGGTCCTTTGCAGACTGCCAGAAATAGTGCAAATTGAGTCCACTTTAAGGGTTAGGGTTAGGGAATCATGGGAACTGTATTTTATTGTGGCACCAGAGCTCTCTGACAGAGAAGGCTCAATGTCTCAGAAAAAACAATTCCCATGATTCCCTAGCACTAACCCTTAAAGTGGACTCAATTTGCACTATTTCTGGCAGTCTGCAAAGGCCTTTGGAGTAAAAGACTTGAATACATCACACACGCCCACACCTTTTCTGGCTCTGGCAATAATTTAAACTGGAGAACTCAGCTCCTCTATCTCTCTCCCACATGCTTACTTTGCTGCTGCTTCTATATTTAGGTCAGTTTGTTTACACATCTAGTCAACTTACAGCTTTTTGTAACTTTTTGCAATCTTGTCTACAACTTAGACTACCTTCAGCTTGGAATGCATATTGATATGTAAATGGACTTTGGGTAGACTTACAGGCCCTGTCTTCATGGGCCAAATACAGTGGTTTCCTCCTGTTCTCTCAATGGGGAGACCAGAGGATGTACGACCCAAAATGTGGTTCCAATGTGAACAGACTGGACAATGGCTGGCCTGTTGAGCACCAGAACCAGGTTTTACCCTTCTTACCATGGGCTTTTAAAACTTCCTGTTTCCTCCAGATCTTCTCCAGGTCTTTAAGCAGAGGCTGGATGGCCATCTGTCAGGGATGCTATGATTGGGAGTTCCTGCATGGCAGGGGGTTGGACTGGATGGCCCTTGTGGTCTCTTCCAACTCTATGATTCTATGATTCTACTGCTACTGCCACCAGTGACTTGCTCTGAAGTCATAACAAGGTGCCCAACCAAGTACCTTATTCTGATCTCAGAGCAAAGTGACTCATGGTGGTGGCAGAAGGGGCAGGCAGCTTAGTGGGATGCATGTGTGGTCAGCCCCCCCCACTTCAGAATGGGGGGCTTTCCAACGGAGGAGAGTCAGGGCAGGTCTGGACCAGGATAATCTGGGCTGAAGGGCAATATCTGGCCACATATGAATGCCTGAAGAAGTTAGTGTGGTGGATCTTTTTCAATTTGGATTGGCTACATTTGCTCTGTCTTGGTTTGAGGTGAATAACTCAGATTATTGTGAGCCATTATGAAGTGAAAGGGGTGGAAAGGAAAGGGTTGCCAAATACTCTTTACTTCCATACTAACAAACATGGTGAACATCTATATCTTTATATTAATCTATACACAGACATACACACACACATATAGAGCACTTATAGTTTATATATGAGATACAATTAAATCATAAGGTATTTAGTTTAACAAATTTCAGGATGTATGAAATGAGAATCATCTGAAGTTACACTGGAAA